ATCACCTCCACCTCCAAACCCCCTTGGGTCTGCTCACAGTAGGTGTCACTTTGTGGGACTCAGCCCCAAAAGACCCAGAGCAGAAACTGCCACCTGCACCCTACTCCCGCATTCCTGCCGCCTTCACCTCACCAAGCAGGCACTTCCTCGCCCACTGATTCTGCCGTGCTCCATCTCAGGGCCTCTAAACGTTCCTCCTGGCTTCACCGAGACTCTCCTTAGACTGTTTCCAAAATCTCGATGAGCCTTTGCATTTTAAGGAGACGCGATTTTATCAGATTTCCCCGTCTTTCCAGGCGCTCAGCTCTACCCAAGTTTGATGAACTGATCTCAGATAAATCCCATCAGCTGTCGGCTTTGCTGAGACTCAGGGAGTGACATTTCCCCGGTTTGCTCAGGTTTAATGCAAAGGAGGCAGTCCTGCTGCAAACCTTCCAGGCCAGGTGAGACTAATAAAGAGTCTTCTACAAATGGCCTCACTCCGCCAATCTGGGCCATCGGACTGGCTTCTGGCTCCCTGCCGTTTCTGGAAGGGTGGAAGCCAGCAGACAGCAGACCACGGAGGGCGCCAGGGATGCAGCCTCTCTCTTGGCTTAATGGTGGTTGGCAGCATTTCCATGCATTTCCATGCGGGATTATGCCATAAATTTATTTGGCTCCAAACAGGCATGCTCACAGCATGGATGCAGTAGGGGAATAGGGAGGGGAGGAAGTGCCCCCAGACTCTAGGCCTAAGCATCTTGGGGCACACCCAGCCCCATCACCCCAAAGCTGGTCATCACTCCCAACCCCTCAGGCAGCCCGGTTGCCAGCTGACTGTCCCGGGAAGGGAGGCCTGAGGATCTGCCCCCAGGGGAGCAGACGAATCGACGGGGGGCAGGGGGGAACAAGAGAGGTAAAGGGTCCAGGCATCACGTGATATCACGAGTATAAAGGGACACCCAGCAGCCTTGTCACATCCTCAGACTGGACCCAAAAGATAGTCCCTGCCCTGCAGTGGGGACCCTGGCTGCTCAGCTGACCAGGGCAGGCCTTTAATAGGCCATCTTTGCCCCTGTAACCCAGGGCTGGGAACGCTGGGAAGCAAAACAGGACAGATGTGGGTTGAAAGTTTATGTTTCCCCGCAACCTGGGTCCATTAGGAATAATGACTTGTAAGGAGGGGAGGAGTAATCTTGGTGGGGGATCCCTGGAGATGAGGTGGATGTGTGAACACAGACACCACAACAGAATGCTCACTCCCGAGCCCATGTGCATTCGCTGAAATGTGCGGGCACCAGCACACCCACTCACACACTCACGTTCACCCACACGCTCACAAATGTGTTCTCACTCATAGGTGCGCACACACACACACACTCCTATATACCCACATCCACAAACTTCGCAGGGACCTGCATTTGATTTGTGATGAGTTTGGGTATTTTTTTCTTTTTTATGAATATCGTTTGCAAAACTAATTAAGAGGGATTGAAGCCCAGAGCAGAGCTAATGAGCTATTCAAATACCCTGGCATCAGCCCCGCTGGTGAGGTTCAGAGATGTCTTGAGATAGAGTCAGAGGGAAGAGACGCCACCCCCAGGGTTCTCTCTCCAGCAGGGAGACTCAGTGGAGGTCTTGCAGCCTCCTCTCCTCCAAGGGGCTTCCAGCTGGGATGGGGGGACAGCGGGAGGGGTAGCCTGTGGAAGGGGCAGTACTGTGAGCAGTGATTCCCAAACTCCAATGTCAGGATCACTGGGAGGGCTGGGCCTGAGTTGGATTCACAATGTCTGGGATGGAGCCTGAGAATCTGCATTTCTAACACACTCCAGGTGCTGCTGCTGGACCAGAGGCCACACTTGGAGAAATTCTGCCTTAGAGGCCTCTGCTCCAAGATAACGTCTGCCTGGACCCACACACCACGGGGTTTAAATGCACAAGGGGTTGACGGGAAGACAACCAAAAACTTGAGATCCTGCCGTTACAGAAAGGGCCCATCACACTGAAGGATTAAAACCCACCCAGGATTCCAGCGAGAACGAGACTCCCATCCTCACCTTGATGTCCTGTCCCCATACAGCAGCCAAAGCTCAACCACAAGCATTAGCCCATCTGAACTTAGGCGGCTCCACCGCCTGGCGTCCCATTTCACAGATGAGGAAACTAAGGTGCAGAAAGGTGAAGCGATGCACCTACTATAACCCAAGGAGAGCCCGGATCCTAACTCAGACGTCCCCTTTCCAACAAGTATCCTGCTTTGTGCCACAGGAAGCAAAGTACAATGAAGTGCTGTGGAGCGTTCAGAGGTAAGTTCAATGATGAAACACGTCGCCCACAAAAAGCTGCATGAGTAGCATTAAGCCAGAGGAACAGAGCTTCCAGCTCTTCCCACTTTGTCCCTCTAAGTCCCAGAACTAACAAAAAGCCCCAAACGTGGCCTGCTTCCCACAGCCCGCAGCCACGCCATGGAGTCACATGAAGCCAGGGAGGGAGGATGAGGCCAAGTCAGCACAGAACCTGCCCCACAAACCCAGGCAATTTCCCTTCCATCCTCAATCTCGCCCTCTGTGGACTGGCCCTGCCTGTGACACATGCAGTGTGACCTCTCACACCTGAACGACTGCCTGCAGAATGCCAGCATCACCAGGGCCAGCAGAACAGGTGGACAGGGACAGTGCCTGGGCCTCTCCCTCTGGTTTATCAGTTGATCATGAACTGACTTGGGAAAAGCCAGCAGGGGAGACTCCAGGGGCCCCTCCCTCCTCGCCTGCTCCCTCAGTCCATCCTCCAGGCTCAGCCTGTCTGGGACCTAGATTCCTCCACTTATAATTAATTGTTATCAGCTGGTCAAGTCAATGGGTGTAGTGAGCTGGCGTTGGGCTGGGGTGAGAGACACAAGAGAACTTGAGCACCTCAAACATGACGGAGCCCGCAGAATCTCCCTCTGTGCTCCAAACATGGTAGACCTTTCCAGGGCTCAGACTTCTAAATGTAGATGCCCCCAAGTAAGAATTTTTGCTGCTTTATTAAACACCAAGAGTTTGCCAAGCAGCTCATAGGACTATCATCAATCTTTACAATAACCCTGGAGAATCATTTGTTTTATCCCTAATTTATAGGTAAGGAAACAGATACAAGAGAGAAGTGACTTGCTTAACACTCACACAGCTGGCAACTGAGATAACTTGAACCCGTTTCATTCTGACTTCAAAGCCTGTTTTTCTTTTCTGCTTTGTTGCACTTTCCTCATGAATGCTCTTCCAAGAACTCCTATTCACCCATCAAAACCCAGTGTTACAGTGTTATTTCCTATGTGAAGCCCTCCTTCATTCTCTCTGTTCACTTCATATTAAGAATGTTAGTCATTCTTATCAGAATTCTAAATGAGGTTTTGATTTAGTCAGTGGCATTTGACTGGAAGGCCTAGTTGTGCCTGCATTTTGTTTCACTAATTATTCCTTCTTCTTAAGCTACACACCCAAGGAATAACCAAAAACAAAAAAAAGCCACTTATTATTAGCTAGGTCAATGTCTGAAACCCGAAAGTCTTGCCCACATCCCTAAATCCAATAGATAACTAAAACTGTGGCCAAGCCCAAAGCAGTGGAGACCCTAGACTTGTTTGAAAAGAGAATGAGGCTTAATATCTGGCTCCAGCCTTGGTTCCAGAATTTCTACATGGGCTCAGGGTTGACAACCCAACCAGAAGAGGCAGCTGGGGGACTTACCTTGAAGGCAATTTGTATAATAAACACACTCTTTTTATTTTAGTGTTTGATTCATGTCATTTCAGAGGGGAAATGCTAACAGAGGTTGGGAGTGGGGGCTGAAGTCCCCCAAAGCACCCCCTTAACACTGACCCTGCCTGGCTCTGGTTTAGTCCCACCATGAGGACTAAGTGAGTGACAGCATGGGCTCCCTGCCTGCTAGTAAACAGGACCTGACACCCTGAATCTGGCCAAATTTGTCTTCCTTTGGGGGAAGTGGTCCTGGGGGCTCAAACTGCTCCCTCCCCAACAGTGCTCTGCTCTGCTCCCACAGCACCTGTTCAACCTTGTCTCGCTCGGTCCCTTTGTCTCATCCTCGCCCAGCTCTAACCTGCCCACATGTCCTCAGTGCCGAGCCCAGGGCCCAGATGCAGAAGAGTCAGGTGAGGGCAGGTGTAGGAATCAAGAGATCTGGGTAAGAGGTAGGGGATCCTCCCAAGAAGTCAGAACCAACATCCTCAAAAAACATGTGGGAGTAAGGAGCAGGGTCAGAACTAAGACCAATACATCTGGAGAGCAGAGAGCAAGACTGAAATGCAAGCAGGTGAACAGGTAAGCAAGTGAACAGGTAAGTAGGCAAGGAGGTAAGCAGGGCCTTGTAAGGAATAATGCGAAAGTGATATTTATCCTGGAGCAAAAAGGAGTGACGTGATCAGAATCACACTTGGGAGGATCTCTGTGGTCCTTTGTAGGAAATAGATTGAGACCTGCTGAGGGTTCCTGCATGTCCCTAGTCAGGGCCACGAGGAAGTCAGTCCTGTGATGGTTAGTTTTATGTGTCAACTTGGCTGGACCATGGGATGCTCAGATAGTTGGTCAGTCGTTATCCTGGATGCTTCTGTGAAGATGTTTTTGGATGAGATTAACATTTAAATCCATGGACTTGAGAAAAGCAGATTGCCCTCCATAATGTGGGTTGGCCTCATCCAATCAGTCGAAGACCTAAATATAACACACACACCCCCCAAAAAAGCCAAAAGGCCTCCTGGAGCAAAAGAAAATTCTTGCAGATGGTCTTTGGACTGGAACTACACCATCGGCAATCCTGGGTCTCCAGCCTGCCAGCCCACACTGCACATTTGGACTTGCCAGTATCCATAATCATGTGAGTCAATTCCTTAGAAGAAATGTCTTTGTATGTATACATAGGTATATATGTAGGTACACACACAAGCACTTGTGCACACACACATCCCATTGGTTCTCTTTCTCAGGAAAACCCTGACTTACACGGTTTCCTTCACAGAGACTCACCCAAAATCCTAGTTGGGCAGCAGACTCTGCAAGCAGTAGCAGAGGGTGGCTGGACCAAGCTGTCCTGTCTTCCATGAGGTTCTCCTTCCCCATCTAACTTCTCTCTTGGGTTTTCTTTGCTCCACCACGTGGGCCCCAGGGAGCTCCACCCAACTGCAGGCCTCTGGTCCTCCAACATTGACTGTCCAGTGATGGTGCACAACAGGAGCAAGACACAAAAGCGAAAGCAAGCATGGTTCATCCCACCTGCCACAAGGCACTGGTCCAGCGCCCTCATCCCAAGGTTCTGGTCTGCTGCTGTTAAAGGTAATAATAGCCACATCAAGCATGTACAGTGTTCTTAACACATCACACATATTAACTCATTTAACCCCCTCAACAACTTCAAGATAGGTATTATTATGATATCCATTTCACAGATGAGATGACTGGGTCACAGAGAGGCTTAGCAAATTGCCCAAAGTCACACAGCTTCTAAGTGAGAGAGCTGGGACTCAAACCCAGCAGTCTGGCTGGCTCCAGAGTCTACAGCATTTTCTTCAATTGTGGTAAAATAGACATAACATAGAATTCGCCATTGTAACCATTTTTAAGGGTACAATTAAATAGCGTTAAGGACATTCACATTGTAGTGCAACCATCCTCACCATCCATCTCCAGAGCTTTGTCATCATCCCAGACTGAAACTCCATACCCAGTAGACAATAGCCCCCATTTCCTCCTCCCCCTCCCCCCAATCCCCAGTAATCTCTATTCTATTTTCTGTCTCTGTGAATTTGACTACTCTGAGTACTTCATTGAGTTTTGAAATGAAATCATACAGTTTTTTGTCCTTTTGTGTCTAGCTTATTTAGCTTAGTATAATATCCTCAAAGTTCATTCAAGCTGTATCAGGTGTCAGAATTTCATTCCTTTTTGAGGCTGAATGATCTGCCATTGTAGGGATGCACTACACTCTATCCATTCATCTGTGGATGGCAGTGTGGGTTGTCTCCACCTTTTAGCTATTGCTTCTGTGAACATTAGTATACAAGTATCTGCTTAAGCCCGTGCTATCAAAGCTTTTGGGTATATACCCAGAAGCAGAGCCCGGAATCTTAATTACTATGGTCAATTGTCCCTAAACAGCAGACTTTGAAACCAAGGCAAAGAAAGCCACTTCCCTCTTCCCAGATCTACTCACCCCAGCTGTTTCTACTCTCCATAAATCCTTGTCTCCAAGCTTAAACCTTCCTTAACACGAGGCTTTTTTTAACTACAACAGCCTCCTGGACATTTGCACCTCTGTGTCTTACCGACATCTCAAACTCAACACGTCCAAATTAGAATTTTCAGTCCATCCTCCCCCCAGCGTCACCATCTCAGTTGCTGGCATTTCCAAGAAGCCTGACGCTGGAACTAAAATCCTGGGCGTCATCCCAGACACCTCCCTCTGCTGCCCTCACTTACATGCACCATCCACAGCCAAGGCTTATCAATCCTAACCCCAAAATACTCCTGGAATCTCTTTACTTCTCTCCATCTTTGCCAGTCTCACCTCCCAGGCCAAGCCAACACCATTCTCTGCCTGGACCACTGCATCAGTCTCCCCTCCAGTTTCCACGCATCCACTCTTTACAGCCTGACAATCAATTCTCACACCCAAACTTTCCCTGGTCTTCAGATGCTTGTAGGATGAAGTCCAAAGCCTTTATGATGGCCCAGAGAGCCCCAAAGCTCTGCTGACTGCCACTTTTCCAGACTCCTTTCATGCACCCCCGTCCCTGGCCTCCTTGTAGTTTCTCCAAGGAACTTGCTCTGTTCTACATCAATCTTTACACCTACTGTTTCCTCTGCCTCTAACACTCTTCCTCCCACACCCATCCCCAGCACACCTCTGCCTGGCCAGTTCCTACTTATTCTTTAGGCCTTGGCCAAAATGTCATTTCCTCAAAGAAGCCCCCCTTAACCTTGACCCCCAGGCCTAATCAGGACCCTCTGTTGGTCTCACACAGCACTAAGTTCTTTGCCTTCATAGCAACTATCCCAAAAATTATGATAATGTCTTTATTAGGATCATTATTTATCCCCTCCTCATTTTCTTCACGTAACTGTCAGCTTCATGGGTGCAGGGTCTTGGCTATCTGGTTCTTCACTGTATCTGCAACCCTGATGCTCAAAAAAATTGTTTCAAGTGAGTATTATTGAACATGGAAACACCTGACATCAGAAATGACCTTCAATAACAGGTGAACTCCACCACCACCACCCTGCCTCTACCAGAGTGTGGCTTTTCCCCAAAACACACACCAGCAGTCCCACACAGGTGCCTGGAGACACGTACACACACACAGTCACAGGCACATGTGGCATGCTGACACCCCCCAGCCACCACACACAGGCATATGGTGCAACATGCCCCCCTCCCAGCCCACACACTCACACACTCACAGACATGCACACACGTAGACATGTGAAGTCACTCACAGGCATCACATGGGCACACTGTCACACAGGAGGTCACACACCCACAGCCATAGTCACAAACTCACATGCAGACCCTAATGCACACGTTTCCATGCACACAGCATACTGCACCACTCACATGGTTGCTCACCCACAGACACAGTCACGCACTGCCCTGCACTCTCAGCCGGCTTCCAAGTGACATCTGGAGGTGGCTTCTAAAAGCCTCAGGGCGAGGACAGCCCTTCTCAGTTCCTGAATGGGAACCTCTTCCCAGGACCCCCAGAAGCCTTCTATACCCTTCCAGCACATTCTGCCCCCTCCCTTGGCCACCTGCCTACCAGCCCAGTCCATCCTGGCTCCCAGACTACAGGTTCGAGGTTGGGGCAGATATGAGAGTCATGACCAAGGGTGACGAGGACCAACTCAGCAGAACCATTTACCACTACACAACCACTGGTAATTATTTGCCCTCACACTTTTCTGTGCATTTCCATATGAAATTGCTCACTCTGATTCTTGGGAAGAATTCAAATGAGAAAATCCCATGAATAATGAAACTGCCTGGGTAATGAGGAGCCATTGTCATTTCTCGGGCTCTGAGCACGCCTCACCCTGGGAAACAGGAGCTTAATTCCATACGGGGGCCTGGCATTGCTATGGGGAGAGGGGTGCTATGAGGGGAGGGAAGAGCCGGAATCAGAGAATCTTATATGGATGTGAGTGTGTGTGTGTGAGCGTGTGCATTTGTGTTGTGTTTATGTGTTGATGTGAATGTGTGTGCGAGTATTTCCACTTTCCTATTGCTGATAACAAACTACCCACGAAAATTAGTGGTGTATAGCAACAATCGTTTTTATCACAGCTCACGATTTGGGGGATCAGAAATTCAGGCTGGGCTCGGCTGGATAATTCTCCTGTTCCATGGAGTGGGGACAGAAATAGTGACTTAAGCTGGAGAACTGGGTGGTCTAGGGGGTCCAAGGTGGCCTCACTCACCCGGGTGGGACCTTGGCAGGAGTGAGGAAGCCTGGGCACCACCAGAATTTTCCACCAGAACTCTGCACGTGGCCTCTCTGGCCGGACCGTCTCAAATTGTCAGACTTTTCACAATGTGGCTCAGCACTCCCAGAGAGTCTCCCCATGATGTGGGCAAGCTGCAAGACTTCTTACAGACTAGCCTTGAAAGTCTCAGAATCTTCTGTTCCCACATTTTATTGGTCAAGCCAGTCTTTGGACCCAACGCAACTCTCGGGGAGGGGAATTAGCCTCCATGCCTCTCAACAGGAAAGGTGGTAAGAATTTTCAGCCACCTCTAATGCGCCACCGCGTACATCACACTCCAGAATTCATCACAGTGTGATGGGAAGACATTGCATTTAATAGTGCGTTAAGATAGATTTGGATCCCAGTGCCTCCACTGACAAGCTGCCTGGCCTTGAGCAACAGAAATAACTCCTCTGAGCCTCAGTTTCCTGATCTGTCAAAGGCTGTTGTTGCGAGGACTTGGATGTAAGTTTCAGGCAACAGCATTCAGTGAGCACCTAATGTATGCTAGATGCCCAAAGCATGTGCTTTTCTTCCTGTTTTCCCCTGTCCTCCTGCCCTGGGTCACACACCTTAGGGGACTCTTGAGATGGGAGTGGGTAGGTAGGAGAGGCAGAGACTGAGGCCCCAACAGACTCTGCGCTCACATCAGGACGCAACCCACAGCCGCCTGGCTCCTGCCAGCCTCCTGATGGTCCCGTCTACTCCAGTGCCAAGGCCCAAGGTGAGCCCTGGAGCCTCCGCCATCTGGTCCAGCTGGGCCAGCTAGAGGCAGCTTCGCCAGCTCGGCGGGGGTGGCCCTGGCTAACAATGGCATTAATTTTTCATTTGTTTGTTTGATTTTCCGCAGCAAATGAGGAATGTTCCCACAACATCTGGAGCCGCCCCAGGCGGAGGCACGCAGAGCGGCAGTGGCAGCAGTGACAGCTCAGAATACAGCCCTCTTGTTGCGTGCACATCCCCACATCCACACACACACAGACCAGTACCCACGCACACATGTGTGCATCCATATAGGTCTGTATACTACACAAATGTACCATATACGCGTGTGCCTGGGTACACATGTGTCCTCATATGTATGCAACCATGCTCGTGACACATACGCATGTGGGCGTGCCTACATGCATAGATGCTATGTGTCCTCAAACACACATGTTCAGATGCACAGACTTACACACACACATACAATCACAGCCACACCACTAGGACTGGGCTAAGGGCTCCCAGTTCTGGACCAGAGCTTAGGAAGTCCACAGCCCAAGGAGGCCCCTGTAGCCTCTGCTCTGTGTGCCCCATTCAAGCCAGTGAGAGCCAAGCCTGACCCCCAGCCTGGAGCGGGAGCCCAGCTCCCTATCACCTCCTCTCAGAGATGCAAGTTCTACAGCTCCCTGCTCCCTCCCCAGGCCTGGCCCTGCCCCTCCCTGTCCTGGAGCCTGATATGACCAGCTGATCTCTCTGCTCCCAGGAACCTCCCCACCACGGACCCCACACTTAGAGACAGGTGCTCAGGGACAGTCACCTCCCCTCCCTGAATGATTCTTTCCCCTGTTGTAAAATGAGAGAGCTGACTAGACAACAACACCTGAGGGCCAGCCCGCGGGGACCCTCTCTGCTCCCACAGCCCAGCTCAGCTCAGGCCCAGGGGCACTTCCACACGGAGCTTCGGGGCTGTGTGTCCGCATGTGTGTGCTCGGTGTATCTGCACACATGTGCTTATGTTCATGTATCTGTGCAGCCAGGTCTGCCTTGCATGTTAGTGTCTGCGTATGTGTCGGCAAACACCTGTGAATGTGTGTCCGTGACTCTATATGTGCATCTGTTATCTGCACTTGTAAGTGCACCTCTGTGTTTTTATGCCTGTGCTTTTGTGCGTCTGGGTCACTGCACGTCCTTGTGCCTGTGGATGTTCTTATACATCTGTGTGAATCTGCAAAGCTGTGTATGTTGGTGTATAGGTCTGCAAACATGTGTCTCTGTGCTTTTATACATATGTCAGTGTGTCTGTGTGTGTGTATATGTGCAACAGAGTGTGGCTGTGTATACGTCAGTATGTGCAGGGGTGTGTGTGCGTGTGTGTATTGGGAGCCAGGGTGAAAGCATGTGTCAGTGTCAGGACCTGACCACCGGTTTCTCTCCAGCTCTGGCTCCATCCAGGCCCTGCCATCCAGCCAGGATGGTAGGAAGAGGGCAGCCAGAGAGAAGAGAGCTTCCCAGACCAGAAGTGAATCTCGGCCCAGCGGCACAGTGTGGCCACAGAGGCGGGAAGGCACAGGGGCAAGTCTGTGTCCCTGAGGCCCCTCACCCTCACCTGGCAGCAGGCCGATGGCCCTTGGGACCAGTGGGCAATGGGGGAAGCAGCGCAGTTTGTTCCCTGTGTGGCCCCCACATCTTCTGTGGATCTCCCTGCTGGTTGCTCTCCTGGAGGCTCCTCCTCTGGACTCTCTCCCTGCACACAGATGTGTGTCAATGATCAGCTTCATCCTCTCTCCCATTCATCCTTTCCCTGGCAGGTTGCCCACATGTCACACACACGACACACAGACCCTAGTTTCTGTCGCACTCACACTCCTTGTGAAACACACTGGCACACACACTTCACAGGGTCTCCATGGTTCTCTGTCTTTCCCCATCCCCTCGTCCTCCTTCCCCTCCCGGTGCTGGCAAGAGCAAGGTCCTTGCCCTAGCAGCTGTGGTAAGGGTTCTTGGATTGCTAGTAACAGCACCTAGTGGACAAGCTTGGGATTTTTTTTAAGTGGGATGTTATAATGATACAGGCGTGTCTTGGCAAACCCAAGGGCAGAACCAGAGCCCAGCCTCAAAAGGACTGTAAAGCTAGTGGGAGCCCAGAACCTTCTCTCTTTGTCTTCTCTCTCCTCTGCCTTCTTCTCTTTCAGCTTCTCCATGGACTGGACTAGCCAAAGACAGCTGCCCCACCCCAAGAGCTCAAAGTACCTCAGTTCCAAAGAGCAGCAGGGACCCACCAAGGATTCCAAGACTTTCAGAGAGAAAATGTAAGTGACCAAGCTCAGGTCAGTCGTCCACCTCTGGTCCAATCAGCAATGGCTGGGGGCGGGGTCACACAGAAACATGGCAGCCAAGCCCCACCC